TCTCAGTCACTGTTCTAAGTCATGGTTCTCAGTCACTGTTCTAAGTCATGGTTCTCAGTCACTGTTCTAAGTCATTGTTCTCAGTCACTGTTCTAAGTCATGGTTCTCAGTCACTGTTCTAAGTCATGGTTTCTCAGTCACTGTTTTAGTCAGGTTCTCAGACATGTTCTAAGTATGGTTCTCAGTCATGTTCTTCGTCACTGTTCTAAAAGTCTGGTTCTCAGTCACTGTTCTAAGTCATGGTTCTCAGTCACTGTTCTCAGTCACTGTTCTAAGTCATGGTTCTCAGTCACTGTTCTAAGTCATGGTTCTCAGTCACTGTTCTAAGTCATGGTTCTCAGTCACTGTTCTAAGTCATGGTTCTCAGTCACTGTTCTAATCATTGGTTTCTCAGTCACTGTCTAAGTCTGGTTCTCAGTCACTGTTCCCAAGTCATGGTTCTCAGTCACTGTTCTCAGTCAATTTTTTAAAGTCATTGGTTCCAGTCATGTTCTAAGTCATGGTTCTCAGTCACTGTCTAAGTTTATGTTTTTCCAGTCACTGTCTAGTCATGGTTCTCAGTCACTGTTCTAAGTCATGGTTCTTTTAGTCACTGTTCTAAGGGCATGGTTCTCAGGCACTGTTCTAAGTATGGTTCTAAGTACTGTTCTAAGTCTGGTTTCTCAGTCACTGTTCTAAGTCATGTTCTAGTCCTGTTCTAAGTCATGGTTCTCAGGAATGTTTAAGTCTGGTTCTCAGTCACTGTTCTGGTCATGGTTCTCAGTCATGTTTTAAGTTTATGGTTCTCAGACATGTTCTAAGTCATGGTTCTAAGTCAAGGGTTTTAATCATGGTTCTCAGTATTTTTCTCAGTCACGTTCTCAGGGCACTGTTCTCAAGCACTGTTCTAAGGGCATGGTTTCGTCATGTTCTCAGTAAAGGGTTTTAAGTCTGGTTTTCTCAGTCACTGTTCTAAGTCATGGTTCTCAGTCACTGTTCTAAGTCATGGTTCTCAGTACGTTCTAAGTCGGTTTCCTAGTCATGTTCTAAGTATGGTTCTCAGTCACTGTTCTAAGTATGGTTCTCAGTCACTGTTCTAAGTCAAGGTTCTAGGCACTGTTTCAGTCACTGTTTCTAAGTCATGGTTCTCAGTCATGTTCTAAGTCATGGTTCTCAGTCACTGTTCTAAGTCATGGTTCTCATCACTGTTTAAGTTGGTTCTCAGTCACTGTTCTAAGTCTGGTTTCTCAGTCACTGTTTTTAAGTCATGGTTCTCAAGTCACTGGGTTTTAAGTCATGGTTCTAAGTCAATGTTTTAAGTCATGGTTCTCAGTACTGTTCTAAGTCATGGTTTCTAAGTCATGTTCTAAGTCTGGTTCTCAGGACACTGTTCTAAGTCAAAGTTCTCAGTCACTGTTTGAGTCATGGTTCTCAGTCACGGGTTTTAAGTCATGGTTCTCAGACATGTTCTAAGTCAGGTTCTAAGTCACTGTTCTAAGTCATGGGTTCCTCAGTCACTGTTTCAGTCACTGTCTCAGTCACTGTTCTCAGTCACTGTTCTAAGCATGGGTTCTAGACACTGTTCCCCAGTCACGTTCTCAGTCACTGTCTAAAATCATGGTTCTAAGTCACTGTTCTAAGTCTGGGTTTTTAGTACTGTTCTAGTCACTGTTCTCATCACGTTCTCAGTCACTGTTCTCAGTCACTGTTCTCAGTCACTGTTCTAAGTCACTGTTCTCAGTCACTGTTCTCAGTCACTGTTCTCAGTCACTGTTCTCAGTCACTGTTCTAAGTCACTGTTCTCAGTCACTGTTCTCAGTCACTGTTCTCAGTCACTGTTCTAAGTCATGGTTCTCAGACACTACTCTGCTTACGTCAGAAAGGTTTCCATTGCCCCAAGGTGGTGTGTAGGTGGGTGTTCCCTCAGAGTAGGTGGTGTAGGTGGGTGTTTTCCCCCAGAGTAGGTGGTGTAGGTGGGTGTTCCCTCAGAGTAAGTGGTGTACGTGAGTGTTCCCTCAGAGTAAGTGGTGTAGATGGGTGTTCCCTCAGAGTAAGTGGTGTAGGTGAGTGTTCCCTCAGAGTAAGTGGTGTAGGTGGGTGTTCCCTCAGAGCAGGTGGTGTAGATGGGTGTTCCCTCGGAGTAAGTGGTGTAGGTGAGTGTTCCCTCAGAGTAAGTGGTGTAGGTGGGTGTTCCCTCGGAGTAAGTGGTGTAGGTGGGTGTTCCCTCAGAGCAGGTGGTGTAGATGGGTGTTCCCTCGGAGTAAGTGGTGTAGGTGGGTGCTCCCTCAAAGTAGCGTAGGTGGGTGTTTTCCCCCAGAGTAAGTGGTGTAGGGGGGTGTTCCTCAGGGGGTAGTGATGTAGGTGGGTTTTCTCCTCAGAGTAAGGGGTGAGGTGGTGTTCCTCAGAGTAAAGTGGTGTAGGTGGGTGTTTCCTCAGAGTAAGGGAGGGGTAGGTGGGTGTTCCCTCGGGTAAGTGGTGTAGGTGGGTGTTTCCCTCAAAGTGGCGTGGTGGGTGTTACTCAGATAAGTGGTGTGGTGGGTGTTCCCTCAGAGTAATTGTGTGGTGGGTTCCCTCAGAGTAAGTGTGTAGGTGGGTGTTTTCCCCAGAGTTTGTAGGTAGGTGGGTGTTCCGTTGGGGGAAGTGGTGTAGGGGGTGTTCCCTCAAAGTGGGGAGGTGGGTGTACCTCAGGTAAATGGTGTGATGGGGGCTCCTCGGAATAAGTGGTGTAGGGGTGTTTTTAGAGTAAGGGTGTTGGGGGGGTTTCCCCCCAAGTAAGTGGTGTGGGGGTTTCTCTCAGAGCGGTGATGTAGGTGGGTGCTCCCTCAGAGTAAGTGGTGTAGGTGGGTGTTCCCTCAAAGTGGTGTAGGTGGGTGTTCCCTCAGAGCAGGTGGTGTAGATGGGTGTTCCCTCAGAGCAGGTGGTGTAGATGGGTGTTCCCTCGGAGTAAGTGGTGTAGGTGAGTGTTCCCTCAGAGTAAGTGGTGTAGGTGGGTGTTCTCTCGGAGTAAGTGGTGTAGGTGGGTGTTCCTCAGAGCAAGTGGTGTAGGTGGGTGTTCCCTTTTGGAAAATGGTGGGTGGGTGTTCCCCCAGGGTAATGGTGAGGTGGGGGTTTCCCCTTGAATAAGTGGGTAGGTGGGGGTTCCCTAGACAAGTGGTGGGTGGGGGTTTTCCCCCAGTAAGTGGGGGAGGGGGGTGTTCCCTCGAGTAAGTGGGTAGGTGGGGGTTCCCTTTAAATAGTGTGGTGGGTGTTCCCCAGAAAGTGGTGTAGGTGGGTTTCCCTCAGAGTAATGGTTGGTGGGGGGTTTCCCCCAGAGTAAGTGGTGAGGTGGGTGTTCCTCAACTGAGTGGTGTATGTGAGTTTCCCTCAGGGAAGTGGTGTAGGTGGGTGTTCCCCCAGCGTAAGTGGTGTAGGTGGGTGTTCCCTCGAGTAAGTGGTGTGGTGGTGCTCCCTCATACTAAGTGGGTAGGTGGGTGTTCCCCCGAGTAGTTGGTAGGGGGTTTCCCCCAAAGTGGGGTAGGTGGGTGTTCCCCAGAGTAAGTGGTTTAGGTGGGTTTCCCTCAGTTTAGTGGTGTAGGTGAGTGTTCCTCAGATAAGTGGGGTAGGTGGGTGTTTTCCCCCAGCGTAAGTGGTGTAGGGGGGTGCTCCCCAAGAATGGTGTAGGTGGGTGTTCCCTCGAGTGAGTGGTGTAGGGGGGTGTTCCCTCAAGTAATGGTGTAGGTGAGTTTCCCCCAGGTAAATGGTGTAGGGGGTGTTCCCTCGACCCTGTTCATTAGCGCCCCTGCGACCCTGTTCACTAGAGCACCCCCAGACCCGTTCACCTGCGCAGCTGTAGACCCTGTTCACTTAGCAGCACCCGCAGGACCTGTTCACCAGCAGCACCCCAGACCCCGTTCACTTTGCAGCACTGCAGAACCCCCTTCACCTAGCGCACCTGCAGACCTGTTCACTTTGCACACCCGCAGACTGTTCACCTGGCACCTGCAGACCCCGTTCATTAGCAGCACCTGCAGACCCCGTTCATTGCAGCAGCTGTAGACCATGTTCACTTTGCAGCCCGCAGACTGTTCACCCACAGCACCGAGACCCCGTTTACTTAGCAGCACCTGCAACCTGTTCCTTAGCACCTGCGATCCCGTTCCTTAGCAGCACCCGCAGACCCTGTTCACTTAGAGACCTGCAACCTGTTCACCCAGAGCACCTGCAACCCTGTTCCCTAGCAGCACCGCAGACCCGTTCATTTGCCACCCGAGACCCTGTTACCTCAGCACCTGCGACCCTGTTCACTTACAGCAGCTGTAGACCATGTTGCCCAGCAGCACCCGCAGACCCGTTCACTTAGCGACCGAACCTGTTCACCTAGCAGCCCTGCAGACCCCGTTATTAGCGCACCTGCGACCCGTTCACCTAGCAGCACCGTAACCCCGCTCACCTAGCCGCAAACTGCGGGGCCTTGTTTCCAGCAGCACCGCAGAATGTTGCCCAGCGGGCCTGCAGACCCGCCCCCTAGCACAATGGGACCTTGTTTTCCTAGCAGACCCGCGACCGTTTCTTTGCAGGTTTTGTCGACTGTTGCAAGTGACAACTTTGGGGAAACAGGGTGTGACTACAACAGAAAAAAGCTTATCAGAATTTTTTTTCAGGTAGTGGGTGGGGCGAGCAGGTGGTGTAGGTGGGTCGATCAGGTGATGTAGGTGGGTCGAGCAGGTGGTGTAGGTGGGTCGATCAGGTGATGTAGGTGGGTCGAGCAGATGGTGTAGGTGAGTAGAGCAGGTGGTGTAGGTGGGTGGAGCAGGGGGGTCGAGCAGGTGGTGTAGGTGGGTGGAGCAGGTGGGGGACGGGTGGTAAGGGTTTGGGATGGGATGGTTGAGGGTGTAGTCCCCCAGGATAGCAGAGCTTGGAGTGAGGTGTGGCGGGTGGCAGCCGCAGGAAGACCCAGCCAGGAGTGAGTGTGTGGTCGGCGAAGCAGTGTGCTGGAGGAGTAGAGAGAGTGAGAAAGAGAGAGAGAGAGAAAGAGAGAGCCATGCCTGGAGAGGTCTATTGATCGCGCACGGCAGCCATCAGTGCGCACTGCGGCCGCGCCTGGCTCCCCGCCCACCCCCTAGTTCTAACATGGCGGTCGAGTGTGCGGGCGAGCGGTGGCGGGCTCTATCTAGTGTTAGTTAAGCAGTTTGATGTGCTCTCGGATTACTTACCTGACTCCTCCATCATGCAGAAGGAGAACAGTCACCCACCAGACAACCATCAGTATGTGGGGCCCTACAGACTGGAGAAGACCCTGGGAAAGGGACAGACTGGTAAGTCATCCTCAGACCTACTTCTCAAAACCAACTTTCGGGCGGGAGCTCCAAAGAAAACGAACTCCACTGTTTTGTTTTTACGCTAATCTAAGATGACAGTTATATCTCGCTTCTTATTCAGAGAAATGTGAATCGACGTTTGGGCGAAACTTTCCAGGGTGTGTGTTGTTGGAAGTAATGTTATTAATTGTGAGCGTGAGAGAGGTGATGGCCCATCACTGGTAGTAGTGAGACACTTGAAGGAGTGTGTATAGTATTTGTAAGTATGTTTGGGTGTGGTTGCAGGGTGCCACTATGGAAGCTGCTCATTATAATCTTGCCAAGCGGAGATAAATGTCAGAGGAGCCTGAGCAGCATTGCAAACACCTGTCAGTTATGCAGGGGCAGGTCATTTGTTGGGCTTTACAGTGACGGTCAAAACACTGGTTATATGGAGAGCTGCCATAAATCATGCCTGGCTAGCAGCTGCTTATGTAAATACTAACATGTAACCTGTCGCCACACAACGCTGTATATACGTCGAAAGAGGCGTATATATCTGTATATACACCCAGAATTTGGTTTAAACCTATTTTAGAGACTAATGTATGCAGCCTTAATGACCCACGTGCAGTCGATAAACTCTAAACTCTGAGAAAGTAACTGTAGACGTTACTTGACCCACCACGTTTGAAAGTGGTTTTAGCGTCCTCTGGCATATTTGTTACTTTAGCTATAATATGTGTATAAATAACAGAACTGGTGTTATATTATGGAGAAATATATAAATTATTATTATTTTAAATCAAACTTGCTCTCTAAACAGCATTTTAAAAGGAAAAATTGGACAAACTCTTAATGGCATCAAGCACGTAATGCTGGCCTTGTTTATCTCCCACTCTTGGGCACTTTCCGCATCTCCTCACGTAGGATCTCCCACGACTGCCTACCACTGGCGCTCCCTGAGGAGGCAGTTGCTGCAGGGTAAAGCAGGGTGTGGAATCTCACTCTGCTACCTCCAGGAACTTCTTGCTGCAGCAGCAGTAGCAGCAGCACACGCCGACACCACCTTCTGTGGTCACCTCACACTGTCAGTCTGACTGAGACAAGGAGCAACCTCGTTATGTTCACTGAGTCAGCATCACCGACCTGCAGGAGAGAATCGGCAGCTTGAGCCAAGACGACGACTAGTCTTAAAATGTGACCTGCACTGTAGCGTAAGTATTGTTAGGAATGGTGAGCAAGACTCGGCCAAGGATTTGGAACAATGCAGTAACGAAGAGAGTGAAATTTAAAACCTACACAATAACGAAAGAATTGTATATTTACAATAATGACAAGAATATCAGAAGAATCAAGTCATGTGACCTGAATAGTAGCTACAGTATGATATTTAGAATCTATGATGATGGCTGATGACTTTATAAATTTATCAAAAACCTGGGACCTGAACAACAGCATAACTGCGGTAACAGAACCTTTGACTGCATACATTTGGCACTGACATACCCCTCAAGGCAGGTTCAATGACGCTGGTGAGGGGCTCTTGATCTATGGAATTGGATCTGTGCTCCGGTTCCTTGAATTGAGCCTGAATACCTTCCATCCCCCCCCCCCACGTGCGCTGTATAATCCTACGGGTTTAGCGCTCCCCATAATAATAATGGCGCTGACATATGTTCGCTTAGTTGTAAACAGATGTGCCTGGTGTTAGCTTGCTGCGTTGAGTCGCATCCTGGGGAGAGGGAATATATGCGTTGACCGTATGGGAAATATGCGCGAATAACCCACATTCAATAGCATACACAAAACATGAATATTTTCGGTCTAACTAGACCCTCGTCAGAAGGGTTTCAACTTAAACCGAAAAATATTCGTATTTTTATATACAATTGTTGCTATATTCTTTATAAATAAATACAAAAATATATATAATGCACACACACACTCGCGCGCACACAGTTATTTAATATCGAGTTCGAGGCTTTGAAACGAAGTACGATAACAACTCTTTGCCTTCAAATTTGAACTGAGAGAGAGTAAAAAAGGAAGGACAGGAGGAGAGGAATTGAGAGGCTAGGAGAGGAGGGGTAGGGTGGTAGATAAATGGATGGATGGTAGGAGAGATGTGGTGTTGAAGTGAAGGTTGTTCTGGAAGCAGAGGCAGGTGACTCAGCGTGAGGGAGGGAGGCTGGCACTGTGACCACAACACTGGCACTGTACACAGTTTTAGGCCTCCACACCCACCAACACCTTCCATCCCGTCGGCAGAACCTGAGCTGGCACAAGTTCAGCTGCTTCCAAGATGATGTTATTCTCCCAGAGGTGTAGCACATGATGTGTTGCAACAATGTGAATGATGTTGCTCGTATCACTGACTCAGACGACGGGGAAACACAGCTTAGAACACTTCTGGACAATAACTCCGGTGGGTTATTAATCCACGGGAATTTAAGAAATCTCACCACGATGGCTTAGTTTCGTTGGAGTCTTACAGCCCTCTTCCCTGTGACACCATCGTCAAAAGTCGATTAACACCCAGGTACCTATTTACTCTTAGGTGAACAGAGGACGTAGGGGTGAAAAGACGTCCCTACATCTTTACATGTCCATATTCGAACCCGGGTCCTTTCGGTTGTGAGCTGAACTCTTATGTACTATTTAAAACTTACGGTAGATATATAAAACGATACCTTTATCTGATGACCCACTCACCCACACACACGCACACACATGGGTATAAATGCACAAACAATTATTACTGGCAGTGTATTTCTGTATGAAAACTTATTCTTTACTGAAAATATTTCTGATTATTTCACGAAGAAATGAGGTCTCGTAGGGCAGCGGTAGAGCGATCGCCTCAACCGAAGGGAAGCAGGTTAGAATCCTTGGCAAAACACTGTGTATGGGTAAATATCCTTACACCTGCTGCCACCGTCCGCCTAGTAGTAAATATATACATAAGAGTTAGTCGGCTGTTGTGTAATGATGGGGCCCAGTGCCAGGACTCATTATGTGCCTCTGTAATAATTTCACTGCCGTACTCCACACTAGCTGTTGTGGAGTACATCCTGGGAAAGAGGACCTGAGGACTCCAACGTATAAGTCACACTGCTTGGTACTGTTAAGTCTCCAGGGTTAATAATCCCAGGAACGTCTTCTTGGGCAACAGTTTCTGTATAATACAATGCCGTCTTCTGATGTAATACTACCGATGTTCCTACACGTAAACAATCGTTACTTCAACTTTTTTGTTAATCATCTTGCAGTGAAAACAGCCATGATTGTATGTAGGCAGTTTAGTACCTGTTAGGACACTGTTGGGCACTGTATTAAAATGCTGATAAACACTGTACTCGCAGAATTGTGACTGCAGGGTTGGTCCTCAGCCCCTGACTCAGCCTCGCTACACATAATCAACTGGCATGAATTTTAGTCTCCTGATTTCTAGACTTACTTATTTAACCTTTATTTTAGCTTCAGTTTTTGCCTTATTCTGGTTTCCCTTGTGTCAGACACAGTATCCACCCTGATTATTCTGAGAATCTTGCACGTCCTAATCATGTCTCCCCTGATGTTGTTGGATTCACTTCCCTCATTTTGTTCTCATAGTAAATCTTCCCTTAGTTTATAAACAAGAATAATTGTAAACTTCAAGATATTCTGGAACATCTGCAGGTGATTAACCAGGTGTATACTCTATGCTCGTTCAGCACAAAGAAGAATGAGAGTCGCAATACCATGACTGTAACAATTCACAAATAGTCCTCAGTTTCTCGACTCTGAAATCTCCACTCTTCGCAGCTCGTTCTCTCGCCAAGGTTATCCTTCAAATTTCATAAACTCTGTTTACTCTCATACAAAACGGATTCTTCATTTTCTGTGCCTTCCATGCATTTCCAATCTTCAGAATATTAGCAATACTCTCTGCCCTTTAGATACCAAACTTTTTCGTCAGACTGATGCCCTTCGTGGTCATCTAATCTCCTGTCACTGATGCTTCTGATGTCTGAAATGCATGTTGGCTGTCATGTTATAAATCACAACTATCCTGTTACCAGGTCTTCTACTAAAACTCAGTCCTTCTAGCCTACACAGATGCCATCTTGTCGAATTAGCCCACATACATAGCGTTCCTATCATGAATCTTAGTCCTGGCTGTGCTTTTGTAGACTCCTACCTTTCTCAGTAAATTGTCATATGCTCTAATCTCCAGAACACTCTTGACTTAACCTTTACCTCCTCTCCTTTCATCTTGCCTTTGCCTTTCCTGTCTTCTGACTTTCCTCTTTTTTGCTTCCTTTTCTTTCCTAGCTTGGGCCAGTTAGCGTACTGCAGTGTTCCTCTGCACCTTGAGAACTGGTGTGAGAGTGTTAAGCTATTTTTATCTCCACCACCTTAAGATATAATTTTCTCTCATTACTCCATCACTAGTACTGACTAGCGTGGGCCAGGAGGCTTCCTTTCCTAAGTTCGGATTATTTGTGAATCGTCCAGCATTTTTTAAGGTAGGTCTGAAGTGTCGTATGTAGTTATAAATGAAGCTTCGTTTAGGCTCGCCAGAGCAATTTTTAGGTTTGTCATCCTTTCATGTAGTGTTGATGCTCTACAGTTAATGTGTTCCTTAGCTAGGCGGTCCATGTTATATTACTCTGTAGATCGTTTTTACTTTTCAGAAATTTAAAGTATTCCTCCCGGGTCTTCTCTCCAATTGTTGGAGTTGAATAACAGTAGGTATTTGTGTGACCACACTTGCAACAGCTTGTATGACGCTTACTTTAGTATATTCCTGACATGTACTGATGGAATTATTCTCCTCAATTTTGACATCAACAAAAGACGATACAGAAGAATTTATCCTCTGGTTCCAAAACTGAACTTTTGTGACACGGCACATTACTCTTACCCACTTTAGTACCTTCTTCCTTACATTCACTATCTTCTGGTTTTTATATATTCTTTGACTGAGTGAACCATTTTTCCTTTGATGGCTTCCTGTTACACAAGTATCTGGC